AAGATGAAATCACAACGAAAACAGATGAAATTAGATAGTTACCGAAGTGGGGAAGCAGAAACACTTTGATTTTGACTTTTTAAATTCAAATCAGGTTTGATGATGATGATTTTCTGATCGGTGATGAAGTCTTCGGTGGAGTCAAGAAGAGTGAACCCATCTTCGGTATCGGAGACGGCAGCTGATACAACGGCGGAGTTAGTGGCAGATTCTTCTTCTTCAGTGAAGAATTCGAAGGTTTTGGCTCTGAATGCAATTGCAAACTTCTGAAACATTTCTGAGATTTGTGGGGGTTTTGAAGTAGCTGCTGCTCCCAATTCCATTTCAATCTTTGTTCTTCTTCACATAATCATATCATGATTTCTAGAAAACTCATGTGAAGACGATTCATGAAGCAGGACTTAAGCGATTTCTATCTGTTCATGTGGGCATGCTTTTGGAATTTAGAAGCAAGGGCAAAATTGTCTATTTCAAATGTTTTTTTAGCTTTAATAATTTTAAAATGGTAAAAAAGATTATAAATCAATAAAAATAATCAAAAAAATAGATTTGGGTATTTATGATATTAAAAAACATTAAGAAGGGCAAACACGATATGTAGAATTTAGGTCGGGCAAATACGATATTTAACCCTTTAGCAAGGGCGTATACGAAATTCTCCCTATACAAAAACAAGAATTTCCCACTTGGTTCAAGAAAAAGGTAAAACTAAAATTTTATTACTTTTAGTACTTGATTTTAAGTACATTGATAACCAATCTTAGATGTTTTTAGATGGCTTTTCTTAAAGTCAATGGTGATCCTAGAGCAACCGATGATTTGTATGCGTTGTCGCAATTTCCTGATGATCGTTACACAAGTTGGAAAAGTTGTATCGTCAATGGTGTAAGATTTCGTTGCAAGGAGCGTGATGAAAAGTTCACTACACAATGTAGTGGAGTTTGTGCAGGGGATGAGAATGAAGCAATGATTTATTATGGTGTTTTACTTGAAGTTTTGGAGTTGGATTTCATACTCGGTAGAAAAGTATTCATGTTCCGTTGCAAGTGGTATAACACTGATCCAAAGGGAAAAAGGATAGGAGTTGCTCACAATCTAACATCAATTGACATTACATCCAAGTGGTATGTAGATGAACCATTTATATTAGCCAATCAAGCTCAACAAGTTTTTTATTTGAATGATTTGGCACGTGGGAAGAATTGGATGGTGGTACAAAGAGTAAACCATCGCAACATCTATGATATACCGGAGCATGATGAAGAAGAAGTATCAATAAATGATATTTTTCAAGAAGAGGAATCTAGTGAGTTGCCACCTTTTCAACCAACCGTACCTGACACGTCTCCCATTGTCCGAAATGATGTAGAACCTGAAACATTACCACATGATGAAGTTGTAGCAATACGTAATGTAAATTCCCTTGTGGATAACATGGAAGATATTGATGAAGAATATGAAGATGATGGTAGAATTTTTTTAGATAATGAACCTGTTCTTGATTCTGAAACCGATGGTGATTCTGATGATCCAAATCTTGATGAAGACGACTTTTTTGCATGAATTTCTTGATAATTATTAGTTAGATTTTTGTAACAGTCTTTTTATTAATAAATTTAGTATTATCGATTGAGTTGCAAAATGTTTATTTTTTTACTTGTAGCAATCTTTTTATTGTTAAATTTAGTATTATCGATTGAGTTATAAAATGTTTTTTTTATAATTGTAAAGAGCATAATGTCAAAAAGGGGCGGAAGAGGTAGACGATGTGGACTAGGTAGACAAGATGGAGAACGTACTACGCTTTACAACACAACAAATTCAGGTAAAATTTTATTCCATTTTCCTCAAATCATCTTTATTACATTAAATATGTATGTTTCTATTTATGTGTAGGGTTGTTATCGGGTCAACCCGATCGGGTTTGTTGTAGTCCTACCCCTGAGAATGGGTTTTTGGTAATACAATAAATAGTTTATGTGTGTTTCCTATTGCATGCTTTTGAGAACCTCGATAGAAGGTGCAACCATCCCATAGCCAAACACAAAACCATCTCATCTCAAAATCCTTTTCCTGTTAAAACTTGTTGTGTACAAGCTATGTGTGTGTTACCTGTTGTGTACATATACAGGCAAGTTATTTCCATATATAAAAATCAACAAAACTGAAAATCTTTTCCTGTGAAAGCTTGTTGTGTACAAGCTATGTGTGTTACCTGTTGTGTATATATACAGGCAAGTTATTTTCATATATAAATATCAACAAAACTGAAAAATCCTTTTCCTGTGAAAGCTTGTTGTGTATAAGTTGTGTGTGTGTGTTACATGTGTACATGTACAGGTAAGTTATTTCCATATATAAAAATCAACAAAATTAAAAAATCCTTTTCCTGTGAAAGCTTGCTGTGTACAAGCTGTGTGTGTGTGTTACATGTTGTGTACAGGTAAGTTATTTTCCATATATAAAAATCAACAAAACTGACCCTATTAAGGTACAGGTTAGTTGGGTTAAAATGTGAAATGTACTAATGTTATGCCATTTTAGTAAATATATTACCTTTTGTATTCGTGTTTTTTTTTCTTTAAGTATTTCTATCTTTACACTTCACACCCTTCTATTTTTAAATTTTTGTATATTCCACCACCTCACTAGTATTTTTTGATTAATAGTTTTACCTTCTGGTGTAACAATTTATGCACCTTTTTACTAATATAATTACTACAACCAGATCAAACCCATCAAATATCAAGCTTTCAACCCTCATCCAATATCAGGTTCGAATAACAAGTTTTTTTTTTCCTATTTGTTACACTAATGTTTTGATTGTTACTAATTCTTTAGCTTTGTAAATAGGCCCATCTGCAACAAACGTGGTTATTCATTTAGAGCGGTCTCAAACAACCGAGCAACAACCTGGTTAGAAAATATGTTTAATTTTACATTTTATAAATATAATTTTTTTTGTCATGTTCTAAATATAAATTTACTTTTACTTGTTTATAGACCCAATTTCTGAGACTGAACAAGAACATGATACTGATACTACAAATGCAAAACGTGGACTAACATGTGGCAAGGGTGCACGGAAGATAATGAAAGCAGCCAAGAAGAGATTGACAGTGACTTTCAATTTTAAAACAAGACAGGTAGTATGTGACAATGCCTCAACTTTCATGTACGAGTGTGGCTACATTTTGCGTAGCAATTGTAGCTTGCAGTACAAAGAGTGGAGTCATGTACCAGAAGAAGCTCGGTTACCATTGCGCCACAAGCTAACTGTAAGTTTTTCTTAATAATTAAGTATATGGTTTTAAACATATGCATTCACTAATCAACTAATTATATTTGTTTCTTGAAGACACTTTTTGACATTGATGTGGAGGATGCGAATGTTCGCAAAGTTATCGACAGCCACATGGAAAGGGCTTGGAAAAACTACAGATCTCAGTTGCATGATTACTTTAAAGGGATTGGAGGACCAGTTGATCCAACAAAGGCAAAGGCTACACCCCCTCCAAATATGGGTAGCAAAGATGATTGGGAGTATCTTTGTGATATGTGGTGTGAGCCAAAATACATGGTAATGTTTTAAACATATTTGAAGTATAATATTATCAATCATTAGTAAATTCAATCTAATATTTGTTTGATTGATTTGGTTGTTAATCCTTGAAGGAGACTGCAGAAAAGAGGGTTATGGCTCGTGGAAAGCGTAAAATGAATAATAGAAATGGTTCGAAAAGTACAATACGTTATCATATCGAACGTGGACTTGATTTGGATTCTTCAACGGGTCAAATTGAGACTTGGAGGCTTACACATTGGGACGACAAAAAAGGGTGGAGATCTACTGATGCAGGTGTAAAATATGTAAGTTTACTTCCTTAGTTCTTATTTGTACTTACTAAAATGGATTAAACTTTGTAATTGTAAATTGTTAAGCATTGTGCTTACATCAGACCTTGATAATGCATAAACATATAAACATTTTAGGCGTTGTATTTATTTAGCATTGTAGCATTGGACTTACATCTGTCCTTAACAATGCATAAACATATTAGGCATTGTAATTACTTATAAATGCTTACTGTAAGGAAATAATTTCATCTATAAAAAAGTTCTATACCAACCGAAAAACTAATCGCAACAGACTTGGACATTACATCATACATGGACATTTTGACATATTAGACATTGTACTTGCATAATAGCATTATAATTTTCACATATGGACCTGTTCATTTTTTCAGCAGGGGACTTGGGTATTTTTTTTTTTTAATTTTAGTTGAACGATTATTGGATTATGACATGACCTTACCCATTGTATCCCCTTCTAATTGTGAAGTACTTGGTAATTAATTTGTTTTTTGTACTATCCTTATAATTTGTCCTAACAGGAAGAAATGATGAAGCTGAGAAACGAGCATACAGTAGAATCAATGAGCGACAAGTCTATTCTAGAGAAGGTACTTGGTCGGAGCTCTGTTTGTTTGTCTGGGTGGGGGCGTGATCCTGTTGTTATTAGTAACACCACGGGTACTAATAAGAATTCAAATCGCCCTACTTATGATGAATTAGTGGATGATACTCAAAATTTGAAAAGAAGATGTGCAATTATGGAACAATTGTTGATTGAGAAAAATATCATGCCTCCTCCTTCAAGTACATCACCAGGACTATCTGAAGGTGATACATCTGACTTTGATACATCTACCCACATGGACAGTCGCATGGTGAAAATATTAATGGGTTTGATCATATGGAATGAATATTCAAGAATGTTTAGTATTTTCATTATTCTCGTAGCTATTATAACTAGTCTTTTAGTTAGTTGCTTAAGTATTTCAGTTTAGTAGTTGAACTTTTTTATTTGTGGTTTGAACTATGTTATAACTTTTTTAATTAAAAATAGTATTTTTCCTACATATGTTTCGAATTACACCAATATATATTGTATTTGTTTGTACATATTGGATCATTATTACCTACATATATTGCGGTTAATACCCACACATAACTACATTTTTACCAACACATCCATATTTTTTACAAACTCAAAAAAAAAAACAAATACCTACACATCTATAAGATTTACCTACACATAAAATACTTTTACCAACACATCTTTTATAACACGTGTCATGAACACTTTTTTGGGGCATGCCATGTAATTTGCCACGTCGACATCCATGTCATCAATGAACGTCCACGTCATCTTTCCAAAAAGTCACACGAGACCTTTACCAACACATAAGTATTAGTTTTACACACACATACATGTGTAGGTATTGCTTATTCTATGCCCACACATTACCTATGTGTGGGTAAATATCTATATCTACAGTCATGAGCCAACACATGTTAACACTTAATTTATGTGTAGGTAAAGATAATTTCCAACACATAAAGGGCTTTTACCATCACATAATATGTGTGAGTCAAAGGCCAAATTTCTTGTAGTGAGTACAAACAGTGGTTGATTATTTAAATAATTCATGAAGCATTTTTTCTTTTACCACATTATTTTGAAACTCCCAACTCTTCATATTTCTACTGTAACACCGTAATTTTTCAAAACAACTTTTCACTTCTAAAAATATAATTTCATTCACAAATATTCTCAAATCTCAATGTATCACATCTCAAATCCATACAAACACATCCCAAGATCAAAATGTATAAAACTCCAATAGTGTGTACTGATCATGTCGGCGCCTTCCTGCGATCCTCACTGGTACCTGAAACACATGACACAAAACATTGTAAGCATAAATGCTTAGTGAGTTCCCCAAAATACCACACATAACACATATTAGCCACTC